CTGCTAATGGAAGAATTTTCTTTCAAAGGTGGGGCTCCCTGCATCCTAATTGCAACCTCCCCCCCCCACCCACCCAACCATCCTCGAGAGGAGGAAGGAAGCCCATTTCCTTCTCTTAATTACCAGAAGAAACTTCAGCTCCCTTATAAAAACAAAATCTTCATATTTTCCTCCCATTTTTGTTCCCGTTCAGTTGGGAGGAAAGGGAGTTGGTAGGGATGATTCTAGCACAGTGCTTCCCGAAGTAGATCCTTCGTTAGCCAAAACCACTTATAGAACGTAAAATAATAGAATTGGAAGGAACCTCAGAGGTCTTCTAGTCCAACCCCAAGCAGGAGAACTTATACCATTCTGGACTAATGATTGTCCAGTCTCTGCTTAAAAGCCTCCAGTGATGGAACACAGTTTATCACTGTACAGCAGTGGCCAAAATTGTGGAAACCTTTTGGGAAAATATTTTCGGGGAGGGCTTATTTTTGGGGGGAGGATTATTTTAGCGCATGCGCTCAAAAGCCCGGTTGGGCTTATTATCAGGGGATGTCTTATTTTTGGGGAAACAGGGTATTATTATTATTATTATTATTATTATTATTATTATCTTTATTCATTAAATATGAAACTCAGTCAACTGAACATTCAAAAATGTATCGCAAATACTATTGACTGGAGCTAATGGTTGATACGGGTTGCTGCCAGCGTCCTAGGTATCAACCAAGTATCTTCTTAAAAAGTACGATGTTCCAAGTAGCACATTTTTTTTGCAATTCCGCTGGTGTTATTGCAGGAAGCTGCAATTTGTTGATGTATCTTATAAAATTCTTGGACATGGTACCAAGTGCCTCGATGACAATGGGTATCACTGTTACATGTTTCATCCATAGCTGTGTAGTTTCGATGACCAGGTCGCGATATTTCATGATTTTTTTCCAGTTCTTTTTCTTTGACTCTGGCATCTCCTGGTACCCCGATGTCAATAAACTGTACGCTTCAACCCTCGACAACTGTGATATCTGGTGCGTTGTGTTCCAAATGACGATCTGTCTGTATTCGAAAGTCCCACAAGAACTTCACTGTCTCATTTTCGATAACTTTTCCACTTCGTGCTCCCATGACTTTTCAGAGACAGGAAAGTTGTATTTTTTTACATAATGACCAGTGGACTAATTTACCAACTCGGTCGTGTCTAGCTTTGTAATCAGTTTGCGCGATTTTGCTGCGCTCACATATTAAGTGTGAAAACAGTTTCAACTTTGTCGTTGCAAAGTCGGCAGTTTGGATTGTCAGTGGGTTTTTGTATCTTCGCTTTCATGGCATTAGTTTGTAGCGCTTGTTCTATTATTATTATCTCTTTTTATTCATTAAACGTGAAACTCAGTCAACTGAACATTTAAAAATGTATCACTATTATTATTGTTATTGTTATTAGGGTGCACCGCTCCCATAGCAGCCAAATAGCAAGACCGAATTCCCGAACAAAGATATATTTTATATTCCTATTGCTTTGAGATATGACAATACAAAAGGAGAGACATTCAGAACCTCTTGGTGCAAACTGGATGCCTTTGGTGCACCCCCGAAATAAAAAAAATTAGCCCCCGTGTGTCAGGCTTCGAGGTCGTCTCAAATAAATTGCATTTCAAACAAAGTCTTTGAAGGAAAACTCCTATTTATTAAGCACGACATTCTGCACCCGGCTCCATCGAAGCTAACACTGACTTCCAGACCCAAAACCCTCCCTTTCCATTCCCCACTCTCCTGCACTCATTGGCCATCTTCCAAGTCACTCTACCCCTAATCTACTGCTCCAGCTCAAAGGAATTTCCCCCCTCCCATCCCATCTCCTAGGGGATATTATCTCCAGGGAAAATAAGTAGGTGAAAAGTCAAACGTCCCTTTCCAGACGCCTCCACCTCTCCTTCTTATGTCAGCACTAGAGTAAATGCAGCTTGAAGTGCTGACATCGTGCTAATTTAAGCAAGCATTCAAATGAAATAGCAGTTTGGCCTGGCGCTAATGCAGAAATCTCCAAACTTGGCAACTTTAAGACTTGTAGACTTCAACTTCCAGAGTTCCCCTGACTGGCTGGGTAATTCTGGGAGTCGAAGTCTGCAAGACTTAAAAGCAGTGGTGACATCCAAATTTTTTTACTACTGGTTCTGTGGGCTTGGCTTGAGCATGGCTTGGTGGGCGTCACAGGGGAAGGATACTGCAAAATCTCCATTCCCACCCCACTCTTGGGGGAAGGATATTGCAAAATCCCCATTCCCTCCCCACTCCTGGGGGAAGGATATTGCAAAATCTCCATTCCCTCCCCACTCTGGAGCCAGCCGGAGGTGATATTTGCCGGTTCGCCAAACTACTCAAAATTTCCGCTACCCGTTCTCCAGAACCTGTCAGAACCTGCTGGATTTCACCCCTGCTTAAAAGTTGCCAAGTTTGGAGAGCCCAGCACTAAAAGGACCAATCCAAGTTAGCCAGGCCATTGCTGATCTGAGAACAGTGGCCGATTCCCCTTTGCAGTAAATAATTTCAATTCGATCCTGTCAATTGTCTTGTCACTTCCTTCTTCAGAAGAAGAGCAGATGGTAAGAATACCAAGAAGGCTGGGGGTGGGTGGGGGGAAATACAGTTGGCTTTGTTCTCCCTGGTGGGAGCAAAGCAGTCCTCCCTCGCCTTCCTGGTTGATTTTGATTTTTCACATATTGTCAGATGCAAAAGAACCCCCCCAAAAAAACAGACATTGAGCTTCAGTTAAGTTGATTTTATCCTCATGCCTATACACAATCTAATCAGCTAAGGGTCGGCGCTAAATTGCCGCTCGATAAGAGTCAACGGAATTCAAGAGAGGTTGGATTTAAATCATATGTGGGAACGTTAGGATTCTAGGTTGATTGCTCACTTGACTCTGTTGTCCCCAATTCGGGTCTGAGCCTGGTGCTGAAGCCAATGATGGACGTCAGACACGAGGTGCAGATTTTCTGATTGCTTTTTATTGGCGTACTCCAAGGAAAAGGGCTCCTGGCCAAAATGCCAAGAACCAAGAACCAAGGGTTAAGAAAGCTTTATACGTTTTCACTAAAAGAAAAGGCGGGACAAGGCATGAAATATCATTTAATAAACATTTTAGTAATAATTCTACAATTTGTTCTATTGGTCTCTAGCTGTCCCTATTCCTAAACCTTGGCTAATGAATGCCCCAGGAGTTATCTAATACACATTTTTATTGGCTGCAGGCCATCTATATTCCTAATTTTTAGCTGAGGCCTGCAAGTTGTCTAACTCTTGTTACTTTTATCAGCTTTCTAACTACCCAGAATTGTTACAAGATTTACACATGCATATTTCCTGTAGATAAGCATTCTTTGTTCTTGCTAGACGCACTCCCCAATCACAGGCTTCCTGATTTACTTTCAAGTGTTGTGCCACGACCTGGCTTTATTTTAGCAGACAGCCCATCAACTCCTTCCCGAACTCCCCCTGTGCTTCTCCTATTCATATCCCCTTTCGCCTGAAATCCACCTGTAGTTCTCCAAAACAATGCACACAGTTTGGGCTTGCAGCTGTCTACATTGATCTGGGAGATGGTTGGCCCACAAGCCTTAGGATAAAGGAACATCTGAACAGTCTCCTCTTCATTTCCTAGGCCAGTGTTACCAGCACCAGCTCATGAGGTTCCTCTGGGTTCCTTGTAAAGAAGTTAGCATAAGTCAGTGTTTTTCAAACTTGGGAAACTTGCAGGGGTCAGCAACCTGCAGCTCTGGAGCCGCATGTGGCTCTTTCACCTCTCTGCTGCAGCTCCCTGTCATTCAAAATATGCATCACAACCAGTGGTGAAATTCAAAAATTTTCCCTACCGGTTCTGTGGCCGTGGCTTGGTGGGTCATGTGACTGGGTGGGCGTGGTCAACTTAAAAAAAAACTTTTAAAAGCATTTTTTTACTACTGGATCGGGCAAATAGGTAGTAAAAAATGTGTCTAAGAAGTTCTTTTAAAAAAGGTTCCGACGATCAGCTGTGACAATCAGCTGTGCCGCACGGTCGTCGTAACCTTTTTTTTTTATTTTTTAAAAGCTTTTTTTTTTTTTACTACTCCGGTTTGGGCAAACTGATAGCATTTTTTACTACCGGTTCGGGCAAACTGGCCCAAACCCCTGGTCACAACCGCCAATGTGCGACACAATTTATTGAGCTTTTCAACCCCCCGGAAGGCCAGCCATGGATAAACCCAAGAAAAGAAAAGTTTCAGAAGAAAACAGAACGTTTAATTCAACTGCATATGCTACTTTTGTGGCCGCTCAAGAAATAGTCAGGCACAGGAAGGGTTTTGTGGCTCCCGGTGTTTTCTTTTCTGTGGGAAATGAGTCCAAATGTCTCTTTGAGTGTTTAAGGTTGCAGACCCCTGGCTTAGTGAATAGAGGAGATATTATATATAGGCATGTGTATTTCAGTCTTAAAAGTGTCTACTGCAATAATATGGCAACTGTGCCAAGAACATTTAAAAGGCCAGTATTTATAAAAGCAAATTCTTGGAAAAGCCAAAAATAGAGAAATCGCTTTAATGACATCGAAGAACATAACTAGGTATTAGCAAACAAATTTCACTGGCTGGACGTTTTCCCTTCAGCTGCAGTTTGCCGAGTAGAAATTTTAAAAAGTTTGTGATGTGTTTTTCCCAAACTGCTTTTAACCCACCCACCCCCACCTTTTTTTTTTTTTTTTTTTAATTTATTTTTTGCCGCCCTTTTCCGGAGGCTCAGGGCGGCTTACAATGCGTTAAGCAATAGCCTTCATCCTTTTGTATATTTTATACAAAGTCAGCTTATTGCCCCCACAAACTGGGTCCTCATTTCACCTACCTTAGAAAGGATGGAAGGCTGAGTCAACCTTGAGCCTGGTGAGATTCGAACCTGCAGAAATTGCAGGCAGCTGTGTTAATAACAGGGTGCATTAAACCACTGTACTACCAAGGCTCCTCCTCACCTTGTTTGTCTTGTCTCTGTAGTCACTACGGATCAAATTGAGAACTTACACCGGCGATTTAAGCAGCTGAGCGGAGACCAGCTAACCATCCGGTAAGTCCCTCTGCCTTCTTTTAAACCCTGGTTAGTATCAGCCTTCCCTAACACTACACAGGATACAGAACAACAGAGTTGGAAGGGACTTTGGAGGTCTTCTTGTCCAGGGGTCAGCAACCTGTGGCTCTGGAGCCGCATGTGGCTCTTTCATCCCTCTGCTGCGGCTCCCTGTTGCTGGCCGGCTCCACAATTGATAGGGCTTTCGGTTAGGACAGGTAGAGGAAAAAGGATGCTGCACTAGGAGGAGATTCTACGGTGGAGGAACCGACTTCCACCGTTGGCAGAGGAAAAAGGACGCCGCGCTAGGAGGAGACTATGATGGGGGAACTGGACTTCCGGTTGCCTCCAGAATTGAATGGGGGCTTCCGGTTAGGATTTTTGTGGCTCTTTGAGTGTTTAAGGTTGCCGACCCCTGCTCTAGTCCAACCTCCTGCTCAAGCAGGAGATCCTATACCCGTGATGGCGAACCTATGGCACGGGTGCCACAGGTGGCACGCCGAGCCATATTGGTGGGCACGCAAGTGTTGCCCTAGCTCAGCTCCAGTGCGCACCAGCCAACTGATTTTCAGGCCTTCCGGTCCCACCGGAAGTCGGGAAACTGGTTGTTTCCGGCCTCCAGAAGGCTTCCAGGGAGATGGGGAAGGCTGTTTTTGCCTTCCCCAGGCTCCTAGAAAGCCTCTGGAGCCTGGGGAGGGGGAAAAATGGGCCAACTGGGCCCACCGTGCCATCGCGTGCCAAAAGCAGCAGGAAGTGTGGGGCGGGGGGTCACGTGCACATGCGCGGGAGAGCGGGGCGCATTGAATTATGGATGTGGGCACCCGCACCTGCGATCCCCCACGCTCCCCCCACTTTTGGCACGTGACGGCAAAAAGGTTAGCCATCACTGTCCTATACCATTTCAGACAGGTGGCTGTCCAGTTTCTTCTTAAAAACCCCCAGTGATGGAGCGCCCACAACTTCTAGTGGCAAGAAGTTCCACTGGTTAATTTTTCCTCCCTGTTAGGAAGTTTCTCCTTAATTCCAGGTTGCCTCTCTCCTTGATTAATTTCCATCCATTGTTTCTTGTCTTGCCCTGTCCAGTGCTTTGGAAAATCAGTTGAGCCTCTCTTTGTTGTGGCAGCCCCTCAAATGTTGGGAAACTGCTAAACCTAAACTCCTAAACCTCCTCATTTCTAGTTCTCTTCAAATATCTTAGGGTCTCCTGCTTGTGCAGGGGGTTGGACTAGATGACCTACAAGGTCCCTTCCAACTCAACTGTAAAGAGCCTTGGTGGCGCAGCAGACTAAAGTGCTGTTAAGTAGCACCAGCTGCCTGCAATTACTGCAAGTTCGAATCTCACCAGGCTCAAGGTTGACTCAGCCTTCCATCCTTCCGAGGTAGGTAAAATGAGGACCCGGATTGTGGGGGCAATAAGATGACTTTGTATAAAAAAGAACACCGTTTATGGGGGGCCTGAAAGCCCTACTAAGCAGGTATATACAAAAGTATGAAGGCTATTGCTTAACGCATTGTAAGCCGCCCTGAGTCTCCGGAGAAAGGCGGCATATAAATTGAACTAATGAATAAATAAATAAACTCTGCTAATCTGTAACAGGCTGCAACTTGGGGGCTAAAACATTTAAAAGTTCCAGATTTGGGTCTCCCAGCATCCTCAGACAGGCTTGGGGAAAAATCAGGAGATTTCTAATAACTCTTCAGACTGCACATTTTTTTTCCCCAAAATACCTGAATTTTGTCCAATGCAACAAAACAGCTAAACTGATGTCAGATTTCAACTGGGGCATTCTGGTTTGAAACTTATTATTATTTTTTTATTATTATTATTCATATTTCTATGATGCTCACTGTCCGAGGACTCTGGGCGGCTTACACCAAAGACAGTATACTAAATAGCATATTGCCCCCCAACAATCTGGGTCCTCATTTTACCCACCTCGGAAGGATGGAAGGCTGAGTCAACCTTGAGCCGGTGAGATTTGATCCGCTGATCTGCTGAACTAGCAGTCAGCTGAAGTAGCTGCAGTACTGCACCCTAACCACTGCGCCACCTCGGCTCACTTGGGTGGGCTAATTCTAGTTTGGGGGGCGGGGGGCAGGGAACTTTTATAAGAGAGTTTCAGCTGTTGTGAATGCAGAGATGGCTTACAGCCATTCATTTAGGGACCGTTCGAAGTTACCATCCCACTGAAAAAAAAAAGTGACTTAGGATCAATGGTGAAATCTAAATTTTTTTTCCTTTCCGGTTCTGTGGGCGTGGCTTGATGCGCGTGGCTTGGTGGGGGAAATCATGTGACTGGGTGGGCGTGGCTATGTAGTCATGTGACTGGGGGAGTCAAAAGATAGAAACTCACTTTAACAATGTCCTGCTGGAGCAGGGGGTTGGACTAGATGACCTCCAGGTTCCTTCCAGCCCTGGATTGATTACTGTGCTCTTTCAAGGTATCCTCTGAAGCTGCGTCTAGTGCCAGGTTTGTGGTCCTTTCTTCCTCTCCTTTTTCCCTCCCTCCCTTTCTTTCTTTTTCTTTCTTTTGTTCTCTTTCTTTCTTCCTTCCCTCCCTTCCTCCTTTTCTTTCTTTCTTTCTTTCTTTCTTTCTTTCTTTCTTTCTTCCTTCCTTCCTTCCTTCCTTCCTTCCTTCCTTCCTTCCTTCCTTCCTTCCTTCCTTCCTTCTCTCTCTCTCTCTTTCTTTCTCCTTCCTCCTCCTCCTCCTCCTCCTCCTCTCCTCCTCCTTTTCCTCTTCTTCGTCCGCAAAAACAGTCTTCCTCCAATAGGTAGTAAAAAATGCTTTTAAAAGTAAAAAAAAAAAAAAGTCCTGAGGATTGCACGGCACAGCTAATTGTCACAGCTGATTGTCGGAATCTTTTTTTAAAAAATTTCAAAGCATTTTTTTACTATCTATTGCTCAAATGGGTAGTAAAAAAATGCTTTAAAAAAGTAAAAAAAAAAGTTCAGACGATCAGCTGTGCCACCCCAACTTTGGAACTTTTTTTTTTTTTTTACTTTTTAAAGCATTTTTACTACCAGTTCGGCGAACCAGTCACATTTGTTACTACCAGTTCGGGCGAATCGATCTGAACCAGTAGCATTTTATCCCTGCTTATGATCCTTTTTCACACTTATGACCGTTGCCACATCCCCATGGTGACAAGATCCAAATTTGGACACTTGGCAACCGACTCACATTTACGTCGGTTGCAGTGGTGATCCCTTTTTGTGACCTTCTCACACACAGACAAAGTCAATGGGGAACCCAGATTTCGCTTAACAACCGTGTTACAACTGCTGTGAGTCACTTAGCAACTGCGGCTAAGGAAGGTCACAAAACGGGTCAAAACTCACTTAACCGTTGTCTCGCTTAGCCACAGAAATGTTTGGGCTCAATTGTTGTCGTAAGCAAGCCAAGGACTACCTGTATTAGTATTATTATTATTATTATTGTCCGATTTATCATTCCGATATCTAAGGCAGCCTGCTTGCCAACAGTCCTTGGGTGAATTCCAAAGGATTATAAAAAATTAATAGCGGCACAGTACAAACCGTGAGTGCCGAAGGACCATGCTGAGACTGTGGGGGAGGAGAGGCAGACAAAGACAATTATTGGAGCCTCTAAGCAACACATTCACACATTGTCCTGCGTGGGGCCCGTGGGGAGAGTTAACTCCCGAAGAGTCTCTTAAAAGAGCTTCTGGTTAGGTCCACGCAGAACAGCCTTGCGTAGGTGCTAACTGCCTGTTTGCATGTGGGTATAGACACATCAAAGGGACACAGTGGCTCAGTGGCTAAGACGCTGAGCTTGTCGATCGAAAGGTTGGCAGTTCAGCGGTTCGAATCCCTAGCGCCGCATAACGGGGGTGAGCTCCCGTGACTTGTCCCAGCTTCGGCCAACCTAGCAGTTCGAAAGCACGTAAAAAAAAATGCAAGTAGAAAAATAGGGACCACCTTTGGTGGGAAGGGAACAGCGTTCCATGCGCCTTTGGCATTGAATCATGCCGGCCACATGACCACGGAGACGTCTTCAGACAGCGCTGGCTCTTCGGCTTTGAAACGGAGATGAGCACTGCCTCCTGTTTTTCTACTTGCATTTTTTTTTTACGTGCTTTCAAACGGCTAGGTTGGCAGAAGCTGGGACAAGTCCCGGGAGCTCACCCTGTTATGTGGCACTAAGGATTTGAACCGTTGAACTGCCGACCTTTCGATCGACAAGCTCAGCGTCTTAGCCACTAAGCTTCTAAAGCCAATCAAATATATAAATAAAAATGCCATCCAAGTCCTGGCACCCTGGCATAGACAGCCAGTTCCGCTGGTCCGAGCAGCCTTTAAACCACCCTCTGAACAAGAGGCACCTCGGGATTGATCATCATCAAGTCACAGTTTCTCTGTTTTGAGCAGCTGGTGGTCAGGTCAGATAATGGCTCGATAATAAATAGGCAGCTCCGGTCTCTGTTTTCTGGCTAATGAGATTTTGCTCTCACAGGGAGCATGTTCTTTGAAAGGAAAATAGTTCTAATATTGTCAAGGCGATGGTTTTCCCAGTTGCAATGGATGGCTGTGAAAGTTGGACCACAAGGAAGGCTGAGGGCCAAAGAACGGAGGCCTTTGAACTCTGGTGCTGGAGAAGACTCCTGCGAGTCCCTTGGACAGCAAGGCGATCCAACCGGTCGGTCCTAGAGGAGATCAACCCTGACTGCTCTTTAGAAGGCCAGATCCTGAAGAGGAAACTCAGATACTTTGGCCACCTAATGAGAAGGAAGGACTCCCTGGAGAAGAGCCTAATGCTGGGAACGATGGAGGGCAAAAGAAGAAGAAGGGGACGGCGGAGAAGGAGGTGGCTGGATGGAGTCACTGAAGCAGTCGGCGTGACCTTCAATGGACTCCAGAGGATGGTAGAGGACAGGAAGGCCTGGAGGAACGTTGTCCAGGGGATCACGATGGATCGGACACGACTTCGCAACTAACAACAATAAGAAGTTCTAATATAAACTCCAGATTTCACTCCGGAAACGGATCCTGAGCTATGCCAAACCTGACCTGGTTGCAGAGGACATCGTTCTCACCAACGGAAGACGGACCTGGGCCTCTTGTGCAGGCAAAATAATCCACAGGGAAGGGGACTAGATGGAACGGCGGGAATATCATTCGAGAGAGAAGCCGCCTAGAACTAAGGAGAAATTTCGGAGGGAATAATTGATCAGTGGAATGACTTTTCTGCAGAAATTGTGGGTGCTCCATCGCGGGAGGCTTTTAAGAAGAGACTGGACAGCCAACTTGTCTGGAATGGTGTAGGGCAGGGGTCAGCAACCTGTGGCTCTGGAGCCGCATGTGGCTCTTTCACCCCTCTGCTGCGGCTCCCTGTCGCTCAAAATATGAGTCACAACCGCCAATGTGCGACACCCACCGGCACACGATTTATTGAGCTTTTCAACCCCCGGTAGGCCAACCACGGATAAATCCAAGAAAAGAAAAGTTTCAAAAGAAAAGAGAACATTTAATTCAACTACATTTGCTAGTTTTGTGGCCGCTCAAGAAATAGTCAGGCACGGGAGGGGTTTTGTGGCTCCCGGTGTTTTCTTTTTTCTGTGGGAAACGGGTCCAAATGGCTCTTTGAGTGTTTAAGGTTGCCAAACCCTGGTGTAGGGGGTTGGACTAGAAGACCTCCAAGGTCCCATCCAATTCTGTTATTCTATTGTTATTATTAAGTAATAGATGGAAGCTTATCAGAGAGATCCAACTTAGAAGTAAGGAGAAATTTCCTGACAGTAAGAACAATTAACCAGTGGAATGCCTTGGCTCCACCACCTGAGGTTTTCAAGAAGAGATTAGACAGCCGTTTGTCCAGAATAGTGTACGGAGAAGACCTCCAAGGTCCCTTCCATCTGTTATTCCATGTTTTGTGTTCCAGGGAATTATTCTGAGAAATTCGGGTGTGAGCTGCAGATGCAGAAAAATCTACTGTTTCAAGGCAACGGAGCTTTAAAAATCCGGGGATGAGATAATTGTTAGAGAAATGGTAAATGCATGATCTAATCAGTCACAGTATCTAATGAAATGGGCAGAATATTGAATTATGCGTGTTGAGCTTCCGCCGATTCAGACTTCGGCGTCTTTTTCTCATCTCTGTCACTTTACATCTCTCAGACCCCGCCAAGAACATCCACCGTCCTTTGCCTCGGGAGAAATACAGCTGCGGTGTTAGGAAAAAGGGGGGTTTCCCAGTTAGAAGGATTTCTTGTCCAATGTACTGAACGGATGAGCATAGATTACAACATGTCAGAGAAACCTGTTTCAGCCAGCACCAATATATACAGAGTTTCAGTTCCATTTACAAAGCAGCAATGAAAAAGAGAGGAAAAAATGTTATAAAATATGTTGAAAGAGTACACAGAGAGAGAGAGAGAAAGAGGGAGGGAGGGAGGGGGAGAGACAGAGGATTCATGGGGTGAGAAGGGATGGATGGATGGATGGATAGATAGATGATGGGTAGATAGATAGATAGATAGATAGATAGATAGATAGATAGATAGATAGGATGGATGGAGATAATGGATGGATGGATGGATGGATAGATAGATGATAGATGGGTGGATGGATAGATAGATAGATAGATAGATAGATAGATAGATAGATAGATAGATAGATAGATAGATAGATATGGGATAGATGGATGGATGGAGATGATGGATGGATGGATGGATGGATGGATGGATGGATGGATGGATAGATAGATAGATAGATAGATGGGATAGATGGATGGATGGAGATGATGGATGGATGGAGATGATGGATGGATGGATGGATGGATGGATGGATGGATAGATAGATATGGGATAGATGGATGGATGGAGATGATGGATGGATGGAGATGATGGATGGATGGATAGATAGACATGGGATAGATAGATATGGGATAGATGGATGGATGGATGGATGGAGATGATGGATGGATAGATAGATAGATAGATAGATAGATAGATAGATAGATAGATATGGGATAGATGGATGGATGGATGGATGAATGGAGATGATGGATGGATGGAGATGATAGATGGATGGATGGATGGATGGATGGATGGATGGATGGATGGATGGATAGATATGGGATGGATGGATGGATGGATGGATAGTTGGAGATGAGAGATAGAGGGATAGCCAGATTTGCTTAACAACAGTGTGATTCATTTATTGACCATGATGATTTCCTTAATGACTGCAACAAATTAAGGTTGTAAAATCTTTCTTTCTCTCCCTCTCTCCCTCCCTCCCTCTTTCTTTCTCTCTTTCTCTCTCTCATCTCTCTCGTCTCTTTCTCAGTTTAAAATGTGTAGCTATATCTTGCCAGCATTCCCTTTTGCCCTTGGGTTCAAAAGCGATGGAGCAGTGGGGGGGAAAGCGGGGGCCCCTCCCAGCTTTGCCAGTTCTTCCTTTTCTCTCCTGCCGTTCCTTCCTTCCTTCCTCTGCCGGCTTCATTAGGGCCGCCTCTGCTGTGCAAAACCTCAGGGCTGACATTTCCACAGGACATGCAAATTGCAGGTTCATGACACATTCCCTGGGGGCTGCTGGTGATGAGAGAGAAGCGGGGGGGCTTCTACAGATTGAATTTGCCAGGACGAGAGGGGAGAGAGACAGCTACAGTAACAGTAACAAGAGTTGGAGGGGACCTTGGAGGTCATCTAGTCCAACCCCCTGCTCACGCAGGAAACCTGTACTAGGGATTCGAACCGCCGAACTGCCGACCTCCTTTCTGATCGACAAGCTCAGTGTCTTAGCCACTGAGCCACCCAGTCAGGCTTTAGACACCCAAATTTCATTTCTCCAGAATTTTCTCCAGGCCTCGAGGAAGAACCATAGGAGGAATAAACTAAAACTGGGAAAGAAAAAAAAAAAAAAAGAAAAGAAAAAAAAAAAAAAAAAAAACCCAAAAGAAGAAAAAAAAATCCCATTTTGTGGATATTGGCAAGGTGTTGTGTTAGCAGCGAAGCTAAGCATAAGATTTCACCCTCCACCCAGCAACACAAACACACAAACACACCTCCAATCATCCGACACTTTTTGTCCCTCGGAGGTCGAAACAAAGCGGAAAGAATTTTGGGGTGGGGTGCAGAATCGACCCACCTCACCCCACCCAATAACTTATAGGAGGGGAGGGCTGAGGCCACCACAGGAAATCAATCTCCACTATAAAGTTACAAATCAAACATTAAATGTTGCCTGGAATTAGAATGTAGTAGCTGGCTGAGCCAACACACTTAATTCTAAAGTGTCAGATCAAACGACACCCTTGCCGTATTCGCCTGTCGTGATGGGGCCAGCACAGCGTTGGATGGAGCTTAAAGTGGACCAGGTAGCACAAGCAGCTGGAATTATGGGTGGGCTGAGTTGTAAAAAGACCTGATCTGATTTTAATCCTAGTTTAACACAGTGCTGTATTTCTCAATGGACTTCCAACTCCCAGAATTCATGGCTGGCTAGGGAATTCTGGGAGTTGAAGTCCACACATCCTCAAGCTGCTTCAGCCCTCAATAAGCCTGCCTGCCTGCCTGCCTGCCTGTCTGCCTGTCTGTCTGTCTGTCTGTCTGTCTGTCTGTCTGTCTATCTATCTATCTATCTATCTATCTATCTATCTATCTATCTATCATCCGCCCACCCATCTCTCTCTCTGTCTCATCTCTCTCTGACTCATCTCTCTGTCTCATCTCTCTCATCTCTCTCATCTCTCTTTCTCATCTATCTCTCATCTCTGTCTCTCTATCCATCTATCATCTTTCATCTCTCTCCCTCTTTCATCTCTCTCTCTCATCTCTTTCTCATATCTCTCTCGTCTCTCATCTCTCTCTCTCTCTCTCTCTTTATCCAGCTATCCATTCATCCATCCATCCATCATCTCCATCCATCCATCCATCCATCCATCCATCCATCATCTCCATCCATCCATCCATCCATCCATCCATCCATCCATCATATCTATCTATCTATCTATCTATCTATCTATCTATCTAATATAGCCCATCTCATCAAAAGCAATCTTCCTTCCTTCCTTCCTTCCTCCTTTCCTTCCTTCCTTCCTTTCATATCTATCTATCTATCTATCTATCTATCTATCTATCTATCTATCTATTATCTATCATCTAAATAGCCCCATCTCATCAAAGCAATCTTCCTTCCTTCCTTCCTTCCTCCTTTCCTTCCTTCCTTCCTTTCATATCTATCTATCTATCTATCTATCTACATCTATCTATCTATCTATCTATCTATCTATCTATCTATCTATCTATCATCTCTCTCTCATCTCTCTCTCTCTATCTCTCTTTTAGTGCTGAATCCTGGGTACTTAAAAGCAGGCAGTTTACTCATTTTAAAAAATTTATTAAATTTATACACCACCCATCTCATGGTTCGAGGCGGTAATCGGGAGGAAGCTAGACTCTTCATTTTGTCTTAACTAACTTTCTTCCTCTCTCTCTCTTTCTCTCTCTCTGTTTTACAGCAAGGAGAACTTCGATCGTGTTCCTGACTTGGAATTCAACCCAATTCGGTCGAAAATTATCCAAGCCTTTTTTGACAAGAGGTAAGCAGGAGGGGGAACTCGCTCTGCATCCATTTATAGGTTGTTTTTTTTTACAAATCAGAAAAACAGACCTCTAAATATAGCCAGGATGAGTTTCAAGATCCATAGAATCCTAGGGCTGAGAGGAACCTTAGAGGTCTTCTAGTCCAGCCCCCTACTAAAGCAGGAGACCCTAAACCACCCCAGTCAAATGGCTCTCCAGTCTCTTCTTGAAAACCTCCAGTGATGGAGCCCCCACATCCAGTTCAGGGAGTCCTCGATTAGTGACCATAACGGGGATCGGCAATTGGAGCATTAAGTGAGACCACAAATGTGATTAGGATTCTAGTTCTGCTTTGCTTCGCTTTACTGACCTGCAAAAGTCATAAATGCAAGGACCGATCACAAGGGTTATTTGCGATGGTGAGCCATGGTGGCTCAGTGGTTAGAATGCAGTATTGCAAGCTAACTCACTGCCGGCTGCCAGGAGTTCTATCCTCACCAGCTCAAGGTTGACTCAGCTTTCCATCCTTCCGAGGTCACTAAAATGAGGACCCAGATTGATGGGGGCAATAGGCTGACTCTTAAAGATGACTTACAACTCTCTAAGTGGTGTAAACCACTTAGAGAGGGCTGAAAAAGCACTATGAAGTGGTATATAAATCTAAGTGCTATTGCTATTGCTATTGCTATTGCTCTTCCTTTCCTTCCTTCCTTCCTTCCTTCCTTCCTTCCTTCCTTCCTTCCTTCCTTCCTTCCTTCTTCCTTCCATGGTGCACAGTAATTAAAAAGCAATATTGCAGGCTAACTCTGCCATCTGCCAGCAGTTCAATTCTGACTGGCTCAGCCTTCCATCCTTCCGAGGTGCGTAAATGAGGACCCAGATTGTTGGGGGGCAAGAGGCTGACTCTGTAAACCGCTTAGAGAGAGCTATAAAGCTCGCTCATTCCTTCCTTCCTTCCTTCCTTCCTTCCTTCCTTCCTTCCTTCCTTCCTTCCATCCATCCATCCATTCATCCATCCATCCATCCATCCATGGTGCGCAGTAGTTAGCAAGCAATATTGCAGGCTAACTCTGCCAACTGCCAGCAGTTTGATTCTCACCAGTTCAAGGTTGACTCAGCCTTCCGTCCTTCCGAGTGGTAAAATGAGGACCCAGATTGTTGGGGGGCAAGAGGCTGACTCTGTAAACTGCTTAGAGAGAGCTATAAAGCTCCTTCCTTCCTTCCTTCCTTCCTTCCTTCCTTCCTTCCTTCCTTCCTTCCTTTTCCTTCCTTCCTTCCTTCCTTCCTTCCTTCCTTCCTTCCTTCCTTCTTTCCTTCCATGGTGCACAGTAGTTAGAAAGCAATATTGCAGGCTAACTCTGCCAACTGCCAGCAGTTCAATTCTGACTGGCTCAAGGTTGACTCAGCCCTCCATCCTTCCGAGGTGGGTAAAATGAGCACCCAGATTGTTGGGGGGCAAGAGGCTGACTCTGTAAACCACTTAGAGAGAGCTATAAAGCACTTTGAAGCGATATATAAGTCTAAGTGCTACTGCTATTGCTCTTTCCTTCCTTCCTTCCTTCCTTCCTTCCTTCCTTCCTTCCTTCCTTCCTTCCTTCCATCCATCCATCCATCCATCCATCCATCCATGGTGTGCAATAGTTAGAAAGCAATATTGCAGGCTAACTCTGCCATCTGCCAGCAGTTTGATTCTCACCAGTTCAAGGTTGACTCGGCCTTCCATCCTTCCAAGGTTGGTAAAATGAGGACCCAGATTGTTGGGGGGCAAGAGGCTGACTCTGTAAACCGCTTAGAGAGGGCTGTAAAAGCACTGTGAAGCGGTATCTAAGTCTAAGGGCTATTTATCCTGGTTGTAACCGCAAGCAATCATCAAATGAAGCAGCCACTAAACAAGGACGAGCTGTAACACCCTGTGGCATTTCTCAGCTGTTATTATATTTCTCCATCCCCGTCGCGTTCCCATTTCTAAGCCATCTTCCTGCGATTGAATTTGTATAGCACCTTTAATCTGATTACTGACTTAATCCAACGCCTGCATTTGAGCAGCGGAGTGAGTCATAAGCTAGGGATAAGCTAGGTGTGTGTTTGTGTGTCTTGCTAAAGAAAGAAAAAAAACTAGCTGAGCTGAACATATGACCTGTATACAACCGCTTGTTCTTTTCTTCTGATTTTATTCCCTTGAAGGTGTGGGAAAGATATTAGACGGAACTCACCAAACGAAATACATGTTCCAAAAAAACCAGAATACAAGCGTAAGGTGTAAGCCAGTGGCACGTACCTCTACGGTCCTTGACTTATGACTGCAATTGAGCCCCAAATGCCGGTGGCTAACCCAGACGCTTGTTAAGTGCATTTTGCCCCCCCATCTTATGAAATTTCCCGCCACCGTTGTTAAGCGAATCGGTGCAGTTGTTAAGGCTGTTAAGTTAATCCGTCTTCCCCGCCATGGATGCTGCTCTCCAGAAGGTCGCAACTGGGACATTGCAGTCGTCATAAATCTGAGTCCGTTGTCAAAGGCCTCCAAATTCACACGCTTGGCGACTGTTTCGTATTTATGACGGTTGCAGCACATTCCAGAATCGTGCCATCCCCTTTTGCGACCGTCAGATTCGACGGGGGGAAAAAGAGTTTCACTCGGCATCCGTGTTACTCAGATTCACAGAGTTGGAAGGGACCTTGGAGGTCATCTAATCCAACCCCCTGCCCAAGCAGGAGACGCTACATCTGCCACTACCAAAGATCGAACTCACAACCTCCTGATTGTGAGGCTAAGAGCTCTACCCTCTAGGCCAGCACTGTTAAACTTAACAACTGGCAGTGATTCATTGAACAACTGTCATAAAAGGGGGGCAAAACTCACTTAACAAGAGTCTCACTTAGCAAACATAAAATTTGGCCTCCATTATGGCCGTAAGACGAGGATTACCGGTATGCCCTTCGAATTAGCCATCTCCCTGCTATATTTGCAGCTAAGATTTTACAAGCTCGCTTGGCATCCGGAGGAAGCGATCGCGGTCAGCAAAGCAGGCCCTGAATTTCTTCTCCGCTCACAGGAATCTGCGGGGAGCCTCGGAGGGTTTTGTGGACGAGATCAACTTCGAGGATTTTCTGACCATCATGTCCAACTTCCGCCCCATCGAGTTGAATATGGACGAAGAGCAGCTGGACCGGTTCAGGAAGCAGAAGTTGAAATGTAAATGGAGGGCCCTCTTTTTAACCCGGCGTCAGGGGTGGGCTGCTGTGGGGGGGGGGCGTTTGCAGGGGTTCGGGAGAACCTCGAGCTAAGATTCTGTGCAGTTCGGAGAATCCCCGAACAGTAGAATTCAACGTAGTTACTGCTCTGGGGTAGAAGCTGTTTTTCAGCCTATTTGTCCTTGTTTTTATTGTCCTGTACCGGCTGCCAGATGGTAATAGTTCAAAAAAAAAAGGGTGCCCAGGATAAGATGGATCTTTAAGAATGTTTTGAGCTTTCTTAAGGCAGCAGGAGATATAAAGCTCTTCCAAGGAGGGTTCCATCAAACTTTGGAAAAAAACAGATAAAATAATCGTCATTAATCATTATTTGTTCATCTTATTCTTTAACTTCCATTTGCTAATTAGTTGTTCAGGTGTGCTCTTTTGCCATTTCCTTCCTTTGTTTTAATACAACCTTTCCTTTTCTCTCCTCTTCTGTTTCTTTCTACTTTCTTCATTCCTCCTCTTCTTCCCTTTTCTACTTTCTCTCCTCTTTCCCCTCTCCTCTCTTCTTCCTCCCTTTCTTACCCTCTCTTCTTTCCCCTTCTTTCTTCCTCTCCTTTTCCCATTCTTTTCTTCTCACCTCCCAACTCCCCTCCTTCCCCCTCTCTACTCCTCTCCCCTTTTCCACTCCCTTGTTGTTTCCTTTTTCAATTCAGTTTGAGATGGTATTTGAGCAGCCCCGATTTCTTTTTACATACATCTTCATTTCAAATTTCTTTTTTTTTACTTTATAATTATATCTCTTCTAACATTCCTGTACATCTGCTGGGCCCTTTTGACCAGTGCTGCAGTCTGAGTGCTCCCAGGTCAGATCGTCTTTTAGGATAACACCCAGAAACGTAAAACTTTCCAAGCGACTTGGGTGATTTTTGTTAATTCCAAAGTATCTTATTTATTTATTTATTTATTTATTTTATTTCTATACCGCCCTTCTCCCGAAGGACTCAGGGCGGTGTACAGCCTGATTAAAAGCACAGACAAAATTTAAAAATAATTAAAATTATTAAATAATTGGCTCAACTATAAAACCCCCAAATTTAAAATCCCATATTTAAAACCAATTTAAATCTTTACATTGATAGCCCGGCCTGGTGGAACAACAAGGTTTTGAGGGCACAGCGAAATACACGGAGATCGGAGATCTTATGCAGTTATCTTATTTATCTTATAAATTATTTTTAACTTATAAATTATTTTAACTCTATTTTTAACTGTAATGTTATGTATAGATGTTTTTATTTTGGCTGTTCACCGCCCTGAGTCCGAAAGGAGAAGGGCGGTATAGAAATTTGAATAATAAATAAATAAATAAATCTTATCTTGAGGCAGTTAAGGATTTTTAAAATGGCAATCCATCCATCGAACTTTGGAAAAAACAGATAAAATAATTGTATTAGCTCTGTCACATAAACCATCTCTGGTAATGGAGGTCCAAGGTGACGTCCGTTCATTTTTCAAGCATCTGCCACAGATGTTGCTCTTGAGAGACCCTCGATCCTGCCAAAAATTGGTCCAATCCAGAAGGCTACAAGGAACATTTCCGCCCAATTTTTCTCCCCAAAAGTTAGCGCTGACACACACCTCCCCATGCTACATTTGGGAGAAAAGCTGTGTTAGTCCCCAGTATCCAAAAATCTGGAGGGGTTAATTAGCAGACTAACGGATATTTTTTTTAATTAAAAGGCATTAGCGTTTCTGAGCTGCAGATTTAAATGCACCTTTCCCCCCCCCCCCATAAAATGTGTTAATCCGAAAAGGCGCTAACAGATGTTTGCTACTGAATGTAGAAATTCAGTTGCGGCCAACGCCAGCTGATCATGAATATTTCTGCCTAAAATCTCGCACTCCCTTACCTAACCCCCCGTCCCCCCTTTTCAGAGTTGTAGAGATCGCAGGATTGCGTTATAAATCTTGCAACAGAGAAAACATGTAGCGTCCCTGACAATCCTGTGCACCCTGGTCATAACCTTGGGGACGATAATGTTCTACCAAAATGTCTCTGGAGATTCTCCGTCATTCAGATCAAAGGTGCTTTTTTTTCAAGAGGCAACTGGACTTCCTGGTTTTTCTTTGAAGTCGTTTCGCTTCTCATCCCAAGAAGCTTCTTCAGCTCTGACCGGATGGTGGGGAATGGAAGGATTTATACTCCTTGCAGACAGCCGGTCATTGGCATCCTTTGAGAGGGTCGTTGAGGCCGCTTGGAGGTTTATCTGTGTCCTCAGTTGTCCCAAAGGTGTTTTTTCAAGACTTTCTGGTTGCTTTCTTTTGAAGACGTTTCACTTCTCATCCAAGAAGCTTCTTCAGCTCCGATTCTACCGAGATGTACTAAATCAACCAAGATGTACTTGGTAGAACTTTTGATTCTACCAAGATGGACTAAAACTTGCATTATGGGTTTCAACCAGTGGTGAAATTCCTTTTTTTTTTTTTTAACTACCGGTTCTGTGGGCGTGGCTTGGTGGGCGTGGCAGGGGAAGGATACTGCAAAATCCCCATTCCCTCCCCACTCCAGGGGGAAGGATATTGCAAAATCCCCATTCCTTCCCCACTCCTGGGAGAAGGATATTCATTCATTCATTCATTCATTCATTCATTCATTCATTCATTTATTTATTTATTTATTTATTTATTTATTTATACCACCCTTCTCCCAAAGGACTCAGGGCGGTGTACAGCCATACCAAAACAAACATATACCCATAAAATTTAAAAACAATTTAAAATATATTAAAATGTGGCCCTTATATTAAAAACTACAAGCACCCAATTAAAATTCATTTTCTAAGCCAGCCTGGCCTGTTGAAACAAAAGGGTCTTAAGGGCACGGCGAAAAGTACGTAGGTTGGGGATCCTGCGAATCTCCAGGGGCAATTCATTCCAGAGGGCAGGTGCCCCCACAGAGAAGGCTCTCCCCCTGGGTGTCGCCAGTTGACATTGTTTGACTGACGGCACCCTGAGGAGTCCCTCTCTGTGGGAGGATATTTGCCGGTGGGAGGCTATCGGTGGCAGAAGGCGATCTCGTACATACCCAGGTCCTAAGCCATGATATTGCAAAAACCCCATTCCCTCCCCACTCCTGGGAGAAGGATACTGCAAAATCTCCATTCCCACCCCACTCCAGGGGAAGGATATTGCAAAAATCTCCTTTCCCACCCTACTCGGGGGAAGGATCCTGCCTTGGTAGTACAGTGGTCTAAGGCACCCTGTTATTAAGCTGGTTATTAAGACCAGCTGCCTGCAATTACTGCAGGTTCGAATTTTGCCAAGGCTCAAGGTTGACTCAGCCGTCCACCCTTTCTACGGTAGGTAAATTGAGGACCCAGTTGTGGGGGCAATAAGCTGACTTTGTATAAATATACAAAAGGATGAAGGCTATTGCTTAGCGCATTGTAAGCTGCCCTGAGTCTCCGGAGAAGGGCGGCATATAAATCAAAATTAAAAAAAAACAACTCCATTCCCTTCCCACTCCTGGGAGAAGGATATTGCAAAAATCTCCTTTCCCACCCTACTCCGGGGGAAGGATCCTGCAAAATCTCCATTCCCTTCCCACTCTGGGGCCAGCCAGAGGGGGTATTTTCCGGTTCTCCGAACTATTCAAAATTTCCGCTACCGGTTCTCCAGAACCTGTCAGAACCTGCTGGATTTCACCCCTGGTCTTAACCCAGGATGGGTTATGCCTGTTGCACCTCAAATGGATTGAGCAGTCATGATGATGGCTTATGTTTCTCTTTCCCCTTGTGTCTTCCAGTCCTCTTCCACATGTACGATGGAGACAGCGACGGCAAAATCACCTTGCAGGAATACAGGAATGTAAAGTATCATTTTGGCCTTCCACTCAACCTGTTGCTCTTTCGGTGATCTGTTGCTGCTCCTCCTCCTCCTCCTCCTTCTCCAACCGGTTTTACTTGCTTCTCCTAGCCAGGTGGTCCAGCAGATGCTCTCGGGAAACCCACACCTGGATAAGGAATCCGCGAGATCCATAGCAGACGGAGCCATGATGGAGGCTGCTAGCATCTGCGTGGGACAAATGGTAGGTTTGGGCAATGATCCTCCAGAAGAGGAGAAGGGGCTGCAGCTTGGCCATCAAGCATGGGGAGTTCTTTCTCCAAAGAGATGTTCTACCTTTAGTCTGTTAATTCATTCATCCAATGTATTGATTTATTTCTCCCATTTACTTATTCAACTTGCAAACTTGATCCGGGGAGCAGCCAACACAGAATTAAAATCATAGTCAAGATAAAACAAAACAGAAATTCAAATCCAAGATAATAGAATAGAATAGAATAGAATAGAATAGAATAGAATAGAATAGAACAGAACAGAACAGAACAGAACAGAACAGAACAGAACAGAATAGAATAGAATAGAATAGAATAGAAGAAGGAAGGAAGAAAGGAAGGAAGGAAGGAAGGAAGGAAGAATGGGAATGGAATGGAATAGAACATACAGAGAATAGAATATATAAAGAATAGAAGAATAAGAATAGAAGAAGGAAGGAAGGAAGGAAGGAAGGAAGGAAGGAAGGAAGGAAGGAAGGAGAATGGAATGGAATGGAATAGAATATATAGAGAATAGAATATATAGAATAAGAATAAGAATAGAATAGAAGAAGGAAGGAAGGAAGGAAGGAAGGAAGGAAGGAAGGAAGGAAAGAGAAAGAAAGAAAGAAAGAAAGAAAGAAGAAAGAAAGAAAGAAAGAAAGAAAGAAAGAAAGAAGAAAGAAAGAAAGAAAGAAAGAAAGAAAGAAAGAAAGAAAGAAAGAAAGAAAGAAGAATGGAATGGAATGGAATGGAATATATAGAGAATAGAATTAGAATAGATAATACATAAGGAGAATAAAATACATTAATCAAGAATAAAAAGATACAACACTTAGTGGTAGTCAAGGTTACTAATAAGCTATCAAATCATAGTAGGAAACAAATGGAAACAATATAATTGAAAGCTACAAGCAACATGGTTATAGTCATAAGTGGGAAGAGATAGATACTAGTAAGGAAGAGAAGAAGAATAGTAATACGGTCTTAGTAAATTATTTGACAGTGTTGTGGGAATTAGTTGTTAAGCAGAGTGATGGCATTCGGGGAAAAACTGTCCTTATGTGTAGTTGTTCTGGTGTGCAGTGCCCTATAGCGTTGTTTTGAGGGAAATTAGAATTGTTATTGACTTCTGAGAGTTTAACAGAATTGGGACCAATTGAACATCGGTTATGCTTAGGGCAATGCTCTTTCTTAATACTAAATTTGCAATTGTTTGAAATTGCCTTGAATAGCATTGGCATTTAGATTTATATACCGCTTCACAGTGCTTTCCAGCCCTCTCTAAGCAGTTTACAGAGTCAGCCTATTGCCCCCCAACAATCTGGGTCCTCATTTTACTCACCTCGGAAGGACGGAAGGCTGAGTCAACCTTGAGCCTGCTGAGATTTGAACTGCCAAACTGCAGCTAGCAGTTGAAGTAGCCTGCAGTGCTGCACTCTAACCACTGTGCCACTTCGGCTCTTACATTATAAATTCTTATAAATTCCTCAGTCTTTAGAGATAGGGCAGGTCAAAAAAACCAACATCAGAAATATGCTTGAAATTTAGTTTACTGAGATAAGCTCTTACAGCATCTCGAAAGCTTGATATTTTCTCTTCCTTCCTTTTACGCCAAGGATAGCAAAGTTAAATTTCATTCTCACGCGGTCTTGTTTTCTTGCGCTGACCTTGTGTTTTGCAGATAATCTCTGCCTATTCTCTCCAAGGTCAAACTTATGTTTTGTCTATGCCATTTCTCTTTCAAATGTTTGGGATTTTATACTGCTTGTGCTGCCCTCCAGGGGATATACAGTAGTGGCCAAAATTGTGGGAACCTTTTGGGAAAAGTGTATTTTCTAAAACTAGCTAATAACACCACTTTTTTGGGGGGGGGAGCAGTACCATAAAATTATATATCAATGGAAAGATCATTGAATCAAGAATGTCATGCAATAACTTTTATGATGGATTTGCTATTAGAATAGCAGTGTAAAGAAGAAAAGTGAAACGCGTAGGAAGAAAGGAGATGTACAAAAATGATCACCCTAGAAAAAACGAGATCTACAAAAACGATCACCATGTCAGTTAATATTTAGTTGGGTGTAACCTTTAGCATGAACTACGGCCTTACAATGTCTTCCCATGGAGTGAACCAAGTCTTTGAGTTCTGCAGCTGTTCTCATGTGAAACCAAGATTGAAGGCTCTGATGATGCATTGAGGACTTTCTCAGATGTGGGTCCTTCCACTCTGGTTTTCAATGCCACCATCAGAAGGGCTGGGTAGCTGTGCCCAGGCCCATCACAACACAGGCCAACTTTAGAAGCAACTCCATGGAGCATTTCAGAAGGTGCAGATTTCCCCAAGTAATATCGGAAAACCGGAGGGTGAGGAATGATGAAGAGTTCTGCCTGGGTCTGGTCTGGATGAAGGCAACTTACTAAGGTCTTTGGTGCCTTCTAGGGCGATTCATCTTGAGCCTTAGGTCAACTTTTATTGTTTGCTCATCTTTATCAAGAGCATGATAGAAGAAAACTAGCCGAATCATGCCGAACGTAGATTTCCAGGTGCTGTTGGACTACAGGCCCCAGCATCCCTTGATCTGGCCTGAGGCTGCTGGGAGTTGTAGTTTAGCAACATCCGGACAGGTTTTCTGCCTCTGCTACTATTTTATTCTTTGTATTCATTATCTATCTCTCGACCTGCCTATTTATCTATCATCCATCCATCCATCCATCCATATCTATCTATCTATCTATCTATCTATCTATCTATCTATCTATCTATCATCTATCTATATCTATCCTCATCTCCATCCATCCATCCATCCACATCCATCTCTCTCTCTCTCTCTCATTCTATCTATCATGTCTATATCTGTCCGTCTAAAGTATCTATCTGTCTCTATCATCTCTCTCTCCCCGTCTCCATCCATCCATCCATCCACCTCACTCTCATTCTATCATCTGTCTGTCTCTATCATCTCTCTCACTCCGTCTCCAGCCAGCCAGCCATCCTCGTCTGTCTGTCTGTCTGTCTGTCTGTCTGTCTGTCTGTCTGTCTATCTATCTATCTATCTATCTATCTATCTATCTATCTATCTATCTAGAAAATTCTGGAATGTACCTCATCTATATTTCATCTGGTTATCCATTTTTCTATCTATCTCTATATCTCTTCTCTATTTCCTCTTTCACTCTCTCACTCTCTCTGCAATATCTTTTTTGCTTTTTTGCTTGTAGCCCATGGAGTGCGGTGGGGGGCATTATATGTCTCATAAATAGAAAAATGCTTTTTGTAACGTGACTGCTGCTAAAACTGAAATGAATGCGGTACAGCCACCATATACCAACTCTATTAAAAATACCAGTTGTGTAATCTCTCACTGAATGATTTAAGAGACATCGTTGTTGTCGTGTGTTCAGTTTTCCTTCTCCCTCCTTGTCTCTTTTTCCTTGTATCGTGTCACCTTAACTATAAATGTACAGGCTGAATGGTATAAAAAAGACCTTTTTTGCAGGAACTTTAGCAGTTTCGTTAATATAAGATAACAACTCGATCCTTCTTGCAACCCATGTAAAAAACAGACAGGCCTTGATAGGATGATCACAATTGCCCTTGTGACTTTTTTCCAAGTGTCCCTGTGTAAAAAAACAACAACACCACAGAGTCTCTTGCATCCTTTTTTTTTTATTTAAATAAATACCAAAAAAGAAAAAGAAAGCATCCAATTCTAAGGGAAGAAGTTAAAAAAAGAGAAATGAAAACATGCAGGAGATATATTTACAGAATGTCTACATCAATAAACGGAAGTGATGATTCATTACAGACATTCATCGCTAATCTATATTAATCAATGGTGCAAACCACAGAATAGTTCCAGCCATATGTTTGTCTTTCCAGTGCTGAACAATACAGAAAGTCTCTCGTCTATAAAAAGTATTTCAATTGTGCAGATGTCAGCTCCCACTTGCGCGAGATAAATTTCCAAAGAATATAAACATTTGAAAGTATTAAATCTTAAAAAGTTGAGTCACCGCATGTGGATTCCTTCAGCCCCCAAATAGAACAATATATTTAAATAAAACATTATTTTCACTGAAGTGCTAACAACACGAAGGCCTCGACAACAATATTATTTCTGGTTGATTTTTTTTTTTAAAATCTAATTGGATGTTTGGCTTTTTTTAAAAAAAATCTTTTTTTTATTAGTTAAGTAAAAGCTGCAAACAAAATTGTTGCCATTTTTAATTTTGTTCACAAAGTCACCTCTTGAGATAGGAGCCACACAATTCAAATTAATAAATTAAACAATATTATTTCTGGTTGATATTAATTTTTTTTTAAAAAAATCTAATTGGATGTTTGGCTTTTTTAAAAAAATCTTTTTTTTTAATTAGTTAAGTAAAAGCTGCAAACAAAATTGTTGCCATTTTTAATTTTGTTCACAAAGTCACTTCTTGAGGTAGGAGCCATCAATTTGAATTAATAAATAATAAATAAACAAAAAGATAAGCACAGAAAAAGATTCCTACACATACGGAAAGGATTTAAAAGAAAAGAAGAAAAAAAAAGATTTCAAAACTATTATAAAATGGGCATTCTGGTAGCCCCTTTTGCTTTCTATACCCCCTCCCTTTTTTCTCCAGCCATTCAACTGATTTAGTTAAATATTTTTATACTTTGGACGTTTCTGTTTGCATCATTTTTGACTATTATACACCGTTTCTTTTTCAACATAAACCACATTTTAGTGCGCCTTACTACGTATGGTATGTGATATTTTTGCACATAAGTAAACCACCCCTGTGTGAATTTGGTTAGAGTTCTGCTGTAAATATATCTGCTCAGTTTTTCCACTGCTGTATATTCTTTCATTTTAGTCTCCAAACATGGCGACTTTAAGACTTGTGGACTTCAGCTCCCAGAATTCCCCAGCCAGCAGTGCTGGCTGGGGAATTCTGGGAGCAAAAGTCCACAAGTCTTAATGTCGCCATGTTTGGAGACCCCTGTCCTATACATATGGTTTTCCTTCCAATGTGATTCTTGCCAGCTAACACCTTATTATGCTTTTCATTTATATCCCTTGGGGTCAGACTTAACACAGATATCCCTGGTTTTAATTCCAATTCCATCTTTGGGAATTTCCTGAACGTTAGGGTGTATTTCCCTTTCGACTTCTCCTGATTATTTCCTTTTGATTTTCCCTTCCTGAAATGAATCTCTTTTCCTTCCTAATTTTAGGAGCCGGACCAAGTCTACGAAGGGATCACATTTGATGATTTCCTGAAGGCGAGTCAATCATTTATATATATATATATTTTTGCATTTTTATCGGCTTGCATAGAAAGAGGAGGCTGGCCCGTAGGACCGTATGCTCTACTCAGCTCTGCCAAGCAAACCCACCTGCAATTTTTTAAAAATATTCATTTCCAAATTCACAGAAATAATCTCCAGTAATGGTTTTCCAACACAGTCTCCCAAATAATCAGCGTAGGGGAGAAGTAGACTGGGAGTTCTTCAAACATCAGTTAACTACCGTGTTTCCTCAAAAATAAGACATCCCCGGATAATAAGCCCAATCAGGCTTTTGAGCGCATGCAATAAAATAAGCCCCCCCCCCGAAAATAAGCCTTCCCCGAAAATATTTAAACACATGCGCAGCTGGTCCCCGCCATTTCCTCTGGTTAGGGTTAGGGAGATAGAAATCAGGTAAGACGGCAAGAGGAGCCCCGTCTTGCTCCACGCGCCCCAAAATAATAAGACCTCCTCGAAAATAAGGCCAAGCGCTTATTTTGGGGTTCAAAAAAAATATAAGACAGCGTCTTACTTTCAGGGAAACATGGTATTTTGCAAAAACTGCTATACGGATAGTTTTTCTACCTACAAACTTTACAAGGGTGGGTAAAGCTAAAGGGAAAGGTTCCCCTCGCACATATGTGCTAGTCGTTCCCGACTCTAGGGGGCGGTGCTCATCTCCGTTTCAAAGCCGAGGAGCCAGCGCTGTCCGAAGACGTCTCTGTGGTCATGTGGCCGGCAGGACTCAACGCCAAAGGCGCAGGGAACGCTGTTGCCTTCCCACCAAAGGTTGTCCCTGTTTTTCTACTTGCATTTTTTACGGGCTTTTGAACTGCTAGGTTGGCAGAAGCTGGGACAAGTCACGGGAACTCAGCCCGTTACGCGGCACTAGGGATTCGAACCGCTGAACTGTTGATCTTTTGATCGACAAGCTGAGTGTCTTAGCCACTGAGCCAACGCGTCCCCACAAAGGTGGGTAGGGTTAAGTCAATCGTGCAAAGGAAAATGGAGAAGAGTCTTCCTTATGGGAGATGGGCAAAAGGTTCACAGCGAAGGCAAAAGGTTCTTCACCAAGTGAAGGTCCTGTTTGAGGTGCCCAAAGTCTTCTGCTGTGAACCTTCTGACCATCTCAAGTGAAGGTAGGGAAGTCCATGTATCACCTTTGGAGTGAATTCCTCTTTCCCCCAGCTATTTTTTGGGAGGGAAAGATCTAAGGCCAAGGCAACTGTGAGTTGAGTTCTGGAATGCAGAATGCAGAATACATTTGCGCCTTCTTGAAGTACGATTTAAGATTGCAGGGTTGTCTTCTCCTCTACTAACTCTGGGTTTTTTTTTATCCCCCTTTCAATGCCAGATATGGGAAGGCATCGACATAGAGACCAAGATGCACGTTCGCTTCCTCACGCTGGAACCCATGGCGCTCTGCTACTGACGGCGGCGGAGTAGCTACAACCGGGTGGTGGGGAGGCTTTGGAGGAGATGGCCAGGGGCTTGTTTGGTTGGGTGGGAGGGCCAACGTGTCTGATGGAGCAGCTGCCACGGAGCCACAAAGTTCAGACCAGCCACATGGATGGATTCCCATCTTGGGTTGAAGACCAACTCTTCTGGCCTCCAGTAAAAGGACCTCAGTTCTGATGCAACGCTGTAGTGCTTGCTACGTTTGTGCAGTTGTGTTTTACTTCTAGCTTTCTGGGCTGAGATAAGCCCCCCAAACACCCCCAGTCAGAAGGGGGTGCCATCACTGCCCACAGTAAGTCAGCTTTTGGGACGAATGGCTATATATATATTACAGGTAGTCCTTGACTTAATGACCACAATGGAGTCCAATTGTTCCTAAGCGAGGCATTTTGTGAGTTTGGCTCACAACTTTTTTACAACTTTTTCTTGCTACCTTTGTTAAGTGAATCACTGCAGTTGTTGAGTTAGTAACACGGTTGTTAATAGAAGCTGGCTTCCCCGTTGACTTTGCTGATAAGGTCACTAAATGTGATCACATAATTCCAGGACACTGAAACCATCATATTCAGAAGCTTGGCAATTGACTCATATGAGTCAATTGCCAAGCTTCTGAATTTTAATCACATGCCATGGAGATGTTGCAATCGTAAATGCGAAAAACGATCACGTTTAACATTCGCCGTTCAGTGATGTTATCACTTCCAACGGTCACTAAATGAACTGTTTTAAGTCAAGGATTACCCATACTAGCTTTTAAGTGGTAATTATATATAGACATTCTTCTATGCACATATTAGCATTTATGTAGTTCTATTTATGTACTAAAATATGCTAATATGCATATGTGTATATATATATATATATACACACACACACACACAGATGGGCATAATTTGTCTGTTCCTGGAATGAACTAATTATGCTAACAAATCTGTGTGTGTATGTGTGTATGTAATACACACATTACATACACACATACACACATACTGCTAACAAATCTGTGTGTGTATGTGTGTATGTTTTTTTGAGCTGGAGCTACAAAAAAAAACCTTGGCTACGTAGGGAAAACCTGGCCAGAAGAAAAAAACATATATATATATATATATACACACACACACACACGCACATATTATATATATATTATATATATACATATTATATATATTATATATATATATATTATATATATAAGCCCCCAATGTTTCACTTCTCATCCAAGAAGCTTCTTCAGTTCTGACTGAATGGTGGGGAATGGAACGATTTATATTCTTTGCAGTCATCTGGTCCTTAACACTCCGAAGGTAAGTCGTTAGCTCTCTTGAGGGTCATTGAGGCCATTTGGGCGTTTATCTGTACCCTCGGGGTCATCTGAATCAGGGTGCAAATGGATATGGGGCCTTCTTGGGACTGCCGAAAGGACCGTGTCGGAGACAGTAGGTAGGTGGTGTCGTATCCCTCCCCCTCTGTTGAGTGTGTGCTGTTCAGTTTTAACACAGATGGCCTCTTTGCCCCTCCCCTTTCAAGGCAGCCTTCCCCTCTGTCCTGAATGTGGACTTTGCTGTCTTCGAAAGAGCGACCTTGTCTTTCAAATGCAGATGGACTGCTGAATCTTGTCCTGGTGGGTTTGTTCTCCCATGTTGTGCCATGCGAATGTGAAGTGGTTGTTTTGTTTCTCCGATGTACAGATCTGCACGTCTCACTGCATTATACTGCATATTTTACCCCTTGGGGTGGACAAACTTCTGCCTTAGTGTAGTGTTTCTCAACCTTGGCAACTTTTAAGACAGGTGAACTTCAACTCCCAGATTTCCTCAGTGAGCATGCTGGTTGAGGAATTCTGGGAGCTGAAGTCTACACATCGTGAGGTTATCAAGGTTGAGAAACACTGTGTGTATTCTTGGGCTGAAAAGTGTGCATGTGTTGTGTTGGTTGAAAATCTTCCTGATCTTTTCAGATATTCCCGCAACATATGGTCGTTGCTTCATCTGTTGTTCTCTTCGTCTCTTATGGAGGGCAAACGATCCTACTGGATCTTTATCTGGATTTGATGAAGGCCCAGTTGGGATAGTCGCAGGTTCTGAGGTGTTCTTTGATGTTTTAGTTCTTCTTTTCCCTCTTTGATGGTAGATAAACTTTCAGCCCAGTAGCGTAGAGTTCTGACGACTCCCATGTTTGTGCTCCAGTGGATGGCGAGAATAAAATGTAAATTGGGTTTTCCGTATACTTTCGTGTTGGAAGGATGAATCTTGTTGTGATGGGTTGGTTCTCCTACATCGTGTCATGCGTTTGTGAAGTGGTTGTTTTGTTCTCAACGCTTGGCACAACAGAGAACAAACCCATCGGGCCAAGATTCCGCAGTCCATCTGTCCATGGAGATTTTCAGTCATCCAGGTCGGGGTTCTTCCAAAGGTCCTTTTTCCAAGAGGCCACTGGACTTCCTTTGTTTTTCCTTGAAGACATTTCGCTTCTCATCCAAGCAGCTTCTTCAGTTCATCGCTTCAACTGAAGAAGCCCCTTGGATGAGAAGTGAAACGTCTTTCAAGAAAAGACAAAGGAAGTCCAGTGGCCTCTTGGAAAAAGGGCACTGCCTTTGAAAGACGAAGGCCACTCTTCTGAAGACAGCAACGTCCACATTCTGGACAGAGGGGAACAATAGTTTGAAAGGGGGGGACGGAGCAAAGAGGCCATCTGTGTTAAAACCGAACAGCTCTCTCTCAACAGAGGGGGGGAGGGATATGCCACCACCTCTTTCTGACACGGTCCTTTCGGCAGTCCCAAGAAGGCCCCATACCCATCTGCACCCTGATTCAGGTGACCCCCCCCTCCGAGGGTACAGATCAACCCCCCCAAGTGGCCTCAACGACTCTCGAGAGAGAGAGAGCTAACGACCGACCTTCGGAGTGTCAAGGACCAAGATGGCTGCAAAGAATATAAATCCTTCCATTCCCCACCATTCAGTCAGAACTGAAGAAGCTTCTTGGATGAGAAGCTGGGCGGCAAAAAAAAAAAAAAAAAAAAAAAAAACACCAACCCAAAACGTAAGCACCTACCCCACGCACACACATTCAATTATATTCAAGTCACAGAGTGTCCGGGACATTGCCATGTTAGGACATACCCCTATTACTGTGTGTGTCTGTGTACATTAACACAAGATACATACATATACATACAGTAATCTAGGCTAAGGGGGAGGGGCTTCTTCCTAATAGATCTTAGCCTATAATTACTCTGTGTGTCTGTATTAGAGACAGACACATAGTAATATAGGCTAAGATCTATTAGGAAGAAGGCCCCCCCTTAGCCTAGATTACTGTATGTATCTTGTGTTAATGTACACAGATACACACAGTAATAGGTATGTTCCCTAATCTAGGGCTGGGCAAATGTGGGCCCTTTTACAACCTGTGGACTTCAACTCCCAGAATTCCTGAGACAGCCTGGCTGTCTCAGGAATTCTGGGAGTTGAAGTCCACAGGTTGTAAAAGGGCCCACATTTGCCCAGCCCTGCCCTAATCTATGGTAATATGTTTATTGCATCTACATATTACCATACATTAAGGTGTGTACTCCATATTAAGGTTACGAGTTCTGGGCTGCAAAAGTAGGAGCAAGCCACTAGTGCAGGGGTGGGCAACTGTGGCCCTTTTACAACCTGTGGACTTCAACTCCCAGAATTCCTGAGACAGGAATTCTGGGAGTTGAAGTCCACAGGTTGTAAAAGGGCCACAGTTACCCACCCCTGCACTAGAGGGCAGCTAAACTTTATTTTGGCGCCTCTAGTGGCCTGCCATGTTTTTGCAGCCCAGAGCTGGTAAATCCTTAGAGCAGTCTTTTTCCAAACTTGGCAACTTTTAAAGAGGTACGGGCTTTCAACTCCCAGAATTACTCGGGAGTTGAAGTCACCTCACCTCTGACAAGTTTGCAAAACACTGCCCTCGCTCGTACACACAATAATATACATCCAGCTACGAAAACAAATACTGTACCTTTACAGGGAGGATACGTGCGATGAGGGTGTGGCTAACTGATGAGGGCTTATAAATCCAAAATAAATCTATCTTAGTCTCCTTAGTCTCCCAATGGGCAGCAGGGAGCTGGAAAAAAAGCCTAGAAACTAGTGGATTGGGATTTCGCTGAACTAGGGCTGCAGAAAAATCTTGGTTTACGTAGGAAGAACCTGGATAAAGAGAAATACATACATACATACATACATATATTATATATATATTTGTCTTCTTAAGTTTTCGCGGGTGTGCATATGCAAAAAATTAAAATCTCAGGTGTTTTTCCCGCATCATTGTAAGGATTTTTAGAAGATTTTGAGCTGGGATTTTAACCAGAATTTTAAACATTTTAACCAACTTATTTACAATGACGCCGGAAAACACCCGACATTTTAATTTTTAGCATATTTTATATATATATATATATATATATATATATATATATATATATATATATATATATATATATATACATATACATACATACATACCATACATACATACATACATATATATATATATATATATATATATATATATATATATATGTTTTCTGAGGTTTTCGCGGGTGTTTATATGTAGGTCTTTGGTTATTCGGGTTTTCTCCCGCGTAAACTTGGAGGTTTCTTGGCAATGTTTCGACAAAGTCTCATTCGTCATGATGACGAATGAGACTTCGTCGAAACGTTGCCAAGAAACCTCCAATTTTACGCGGGAGAAAACCCGAATAACCAAAGACCTATATATAATATATATATATATATATATATATATATATATACACACACACACACAGAGTATTTTTTGGAGTATAAGACGCACCTTTTTTCCCCCTAAAAGGGGGTGAAAATTTAGGTGTGTCTTATACACTGAATGTAGCCTCTCCCACCCACTGGCCCCCACCCTTTGGCCTCTGCCTCCCAGCAGTTTACCTCCTTGCAGCAAGAAGAAACAGCCCATTTCAGCTTCAGCACATCCTGATTAGCACAAGTGGATTGGATCGGCTTCCCGACTCTCAGCTGATTTGCTCTCAGCTGTTCTGCGCAGGGCTCTCCTGCTTGCTGCAAGGAGGTAAATTGCTGGAGCAGATTTTTTTTCCTCTTGTGCTAATCAAACTATGCTGAAAACGCAAATGAAAATAAAGCAGGCTGTTTGCTTTTTGCTGCAACGAGGCAAAATTGCTGGGAGGCAGAGGCAGATTTCTTTTTCTTCTTTTCCTCACCCAAAAAGGTAGGTGCGTCTTATACTCCGAAAAATATGGTACACATGTGTGCTCGACTTACCTGTGGGTGGAATGGCCACGGAACATGTGGCAGGACGGCCTCTGGATCTTTCCCCAATTTGGGGTTTCAAAAACAAGCGCCGCTGACAATAAAACAGCCATTTTTTCAAGCACGCAAACCCCCTCGTCCCGAGACCATCGCTTAATAAAGAGATTTTTATTTACAAGGAACGCCTCCCAAAGTCCAACACCTTCTCCAGATGTTGCGAGTAGATCTCCAGATGTTGTAGGTAGTGTTGGTGCCTGCTCCAGAAAAGCAGCGTTGAACCAGGTGCAAGGAATGGACTCCCCACCCCCAGTTCCACCAGCCTGAACTCTGCACATGTGGGCTAAAGCCAGTGTTACTACCTCCTGGATCTTGGGCTACGGCCTTTGCGATTTCCTCCTGATCCTTGCCTATCTATCGTGGGTCCTGTGGGCCACCATCTCTTCTACGATCAGGGTGACCGACTTCAGGGGTGGGCTGCTGGGGGATTCTCAGAGGTTCGGGAGAATCTCTAGCTAAGATTTTGCGCAGTTTGGAGAACCCCCCAAATCCCACTTCTGGCTGGCCCCGCCCACCCCTCCCCTCCCAGGAGTCACCACGTGGCCCGTTTTGGATGTAGCTAAGTGCAGGGCACGCGCAGAGGCTCGGGGAGGGTGAAAAACGGACCTACCAGAAGTTCGGGAAGGCCCTTTTCGGCCTCCAGAGGGCCTCTGGTGCCTGGGGAGGCCATTTTTGCCCTCACAGAGGCTCAAAGAAAGCCTCCAGAGCCTGGGGAGGGCAAAAACACACACACCTGCCGCCGCCATGGTGCAGGAGGCTGACTAGGGCAGTGGTTCTCAACCTGTGGGTCGGGACCCCTTTGGGGGTCAAATGACCCTTTCACAGGGGTCACCTAAGACCATCCAAAAACACATATTTTCAATGATTTTAGGAATAATTTTATGGTTGGGGGGGTCACCACAACATGAGGAACTATATTAAAGGGTCGCAGCATTAGGAAGGTTGAGAACCACTGGACTAAGGCATCCCTGGAAATCCTTGCTGAAATTTTTGAAGCCCACCCCTGATCTCTTCGTTCCTACAATGGTGTTATTTAGAGGTATTGAAAGACCCCCATGTGGCCCCTTCTGCTGCTGCCTGCTTGGCCAGCCCGAGTCCTCCCCCAAGAGCTCTGCAGGATCTCCATCCTTGAGGTTCCCCTTCTCCACGGCCCAGCTAAGTTGGGTCTTCCTTGTCCCAAAGGTGATTTTTTTCAAGGGGCCGCTGGATTTTCTTTCTCCTTCTTCTTTTTTTTAATTTGATTTATATGTCGCCCTTCTCTGGAGACTCAGGCGGCTTACAATGCGTTAAGCAATACTTCATCCTTTTTTGTATATTTATACAAAGTCAGCTTATTGCCCACAAACTGGGTCCTCATTTCACCTACCTTTGAAAGGATGGAAGGCTGAGTCAACCTTGAGCCTGGTGAGATTCGAACCTGCAGAGAAGCACGCAGCTGTGTTAATAACAGGGTGCATTAAACCACTGTACTACCAAGGCTCCTTCTTGAAGACGTTTCGCTTCTCATCAAAAAAGCTTCTCGGATGAGAAGCGAAACATTTTTGAAGAAAAGAAAAGAAAACCAGAAAGTCCAACTGCCACTTGGGGGGGAAAAAAGGACCTTTGGGACAATCATGACTTGGGACGATGAAAAATCTCCACAGACGTTCCACAGACGGCCTTCTTCTTGGGCCTCCACAGACACAGAACTTCTTCCCAACGCTGCCTAGATGTTGTCATAGGGGACCACGAGGCCGATATTGTAGTTGTAGCCGATCGTTTCGTTGTAAGAGGAGCGGCAGATGGGAAGGACGCTCTCCGCCACCAACTGGTCCACGGAGAACTCGTAGGCGTAGATGACGCCTCGATGCCTGTTGAGAGAGGAGCAGTGAGAGAGAGAAGGGAAAAGAAAGTACCGTATTTTTTCGGACTATAAGAGGCAAGGGAAAATTTTAGAATGCGCTGAAATGGATAGGTTAACCAAAGAATTACAAGAAAAAGAAGAATCAGACTATTATAAAATATGGAATAATTGGTATAATTGGTTAAAAAATAGAAATATACAAAAAATATAGGGGATATATTACCGATTGATACATATATATGTAATAAAAAATATTATTAGATTAAAGAGAGGTGAAGGAATATATTATAAGTAGAATTGTAGAACGTCACTCTGAAAAAATGCTTAAGAAGAAATTACACTCTTTTTGTGTATATGTTGTATAAATGTTTGTTGTGTATATGTTATGTATGTCTTTTTTAATATTTATATTCAATAAAAACTATTTTATAAAAAAAAAAAAAAAAGAGGCACTTTTTTGTTCTCCCAAAAGGGGGCGAAAATGTCCGTGAGTCTTAGAGACCGAATATTGCCGAAGCCCCACCCGCCATATGTTTGAGCTCTGCATGACCTGTTTTCGGTTTTGGTGGCTTTTTGGGCCTGTTTTCAGGGCTTTTTTTGGCCTGTTTTTGAGGCTGTTTGGGGCCTCTTTTCGGGGCTTTTTCCAGCCTGTTTTCGGGGCTTTTTTCGGCCCGTTTTTGAAAATGGATAAAGTACCACTGGGAAAGTGGCCAGCTCTCACCTTCGGTGAGCGGTCAAGTCGTCGTCCGTGATGCTGGCGCCCCGGGGAGTTTTTTCATTGGGGACGTTGGCCGTGATGAGGCTGTGGGAGTTGAAGCGGAGGTGGCGAACTGGGTGCCTGGAAAAAAAGGGACACGCAGAGTCTATCAGGGAATAGGAATAGGAATTAGAAATAGAATAGAATAATGGAATAGAATGGAATAGAATGGAAATAGAAATAGAAATAGACTAGACTAGACTAGAATAGAACTAGACTAGACTAGACTAGACTAGACTAGACTAGAATAGAATTAAGGAGTAGAGTAGAGTAGAGTTGAAAATGAATAGAATAGAATAGAATAGAATAGAATAGAATAGAATAGAATAGAATAGAATAGAATAGAATAGAATAGAATAGATAGGAGGAGAGGAGATTATAGAATGGAAGGGGAGGAGAGGAGAGAGGAGGGAAGGGAAGGGAGGGAAGGGAAGGGAAGGAGGGAAGGGAAGAGAAGAGAAGAGAAGGGAAGAGAAGAGAAGAGAAGAGAAAGAGAAGAAAAGAGAAGAGAAGAGAAGAGAATATGGAAAGAGGAAGAGAATGGAATGGAAGAATGGAAATGAAGAAAGAATAGAGTAGAGTAGAGTGGAGTGGAGTGGGAGTGGAGTGGAGTGGAGTGGAGTGGAGTGGAGTGGAGTGGAGTAGAGTAGAGTAGAGTAGAGTAGAGTAGAGTAGAGTAGAGTAGAGTAGAGTAGAGTAGGGTAGGGTAGGGGTAGGTAGAGTAGAGTAGAGTAGAGTAGAATAATATCAATATAAAATTAGAATAGAACAGAACATAATAGAATAGAATAAAATAAAATAGAGCTTGGAGGTCTTCTAGTCCAGCCCTCTGCTCCAGCAGGAGAACCTGTTGTCAGACCTGGAAGCCATCTTTTCACCTTTGAGCCTTCAGGCCTGCCACAAATCCTACTGTGGGAAAATGTGAGGGGGGGGGGGTTGTATGGAGTGAAGATGATAGGTAGTCAAAATAACATTCTTTCAAAAAAGTCAAGGCCACTCTTCCCTGCAGCTTGTGTTGAGAAGATTGAGGAGGCATCTTCTGTTCCGGAGGGTACCTGATTGGTTCAGGTGATGGACATGTGGGTGCAGGAGGAAGGGACTTGAACTTTCTTTTGGGGGAGGAAAACCCAGAAGCTCTCAGATTCGGGTTTTCCCAGATGCGCCAATACGACATCTCTAATAAAATGGAACTTTGAGGAAACTCAAGTCTTGGAGTTTGATTTCGTTGAGGGTGTTACTTGGCACCCTGACACCTATGCTATTCCAGAGAAGTGACTGTCCAGTCTCTTCTCAAAAACCTCCAGTCTTGGAGCGCCACAACTTCCAGTGGCAAGCTGTTCCACTAGTTAATTGTCCCCATCACTGACGGTTGCTAATTTAACCGCCGCAGAGATTCACTCAGCAACGTGGCAAGAAAAGGTTGTAAAATGGAGAGAAACTGCTTAGCAACTGCCTCGCTTAGCAATTGGGCTCAATTGTGGTTGTAAGCTGAGGACTACCGACGTATGAAAATCTCAAAGCCCCACTGATTTTTTTTTAAAAAACATCTCTCTCCAGGGCATGGAGGATGTCCCATAACGCCTCTCGAAGCGAACACCAGGCTGTCTGTCTTGTGATATGAGAGAGAGAGAGAGAGAGAGAGAGAGAGAGAGAGAGAGAGAGAGAGAGAGACAGAGACAGAGACAGAGACAGAGACAGAGAGACAGAGACAGAGAGACAGAGAGAGAGACAGAGAGAAAGAGAAAGAGAGAAAGAGAAACAGAGACAGAGAGAGGGAGAGAAGATAGCAGAAAACTATATTTCTAAAAGCAGAAAAATAGTTTTGAGCGCCCTCAAGTGGATCCTTTCTGAAATGCAGCTGGAGCAGGAAGAAATGGAATAAGAAAAATAGTTAAGAAAGGAGGAGGAGGAGGAGGAGGAGAAGTGGTGGGAGCTTCATCCCTGGAAGCTTTAAAAGAAGAGAATGGACTGCCATCTGTCAGAAATGGTGTAGGGTCTCCTGCTTGGGCGGGGGGTTGGACTAGATGACCTCCAAGGTCCCTTCCAACTCTGTTAATCCTGTTAAAGCAGGTAGGATCTCACCTGGCGTGCATTTCCCAGAGCTTGTTGCCCATCCGCTGGTCCCACACGCAGACCAGCCCTTCCTCTCCGCCGCTGACCACCTTCCAGTCGTCCATCTGCACCGCCGAGACCCCCAGCTGATGGCCGCAAAGCGAGGAGACAGGCTCACTTCTGCGGAGGTCGTACACCATCACCCTGACAAAGCAAGACAAGGGACTGTCAATATTTAAGGGGGTGGATGGGGAGATTATACCTGCCCATCCTGCATGTTTATTAAATAGGAGGGCAATCTACTAGTCCCTGAGAAGAAACACTGTCTGGTGTTTGAGCTTTTGGTCCTATTTCTTTGCAACAAGAGGATGCAGATCGCCACTGAATACGGGTGGTCTTGGACTTACGACCACACTTGAGCCCAGAATTTAATTTAATTTAATTTAATTTAATATTTAAATTTATATACCGCCCTTCTCCCGAAGGACTCAGGGCGGTGAACAGCCAGAAGTAAAAAACATCAAATACAAAATATAAAAACAATTGAAAAGTGAATTAAACAATTTGGCCCGACAGTTAAAATCCCCCATTAAAAATCCAAATTAAAATACAAAATTGGAGAGATCAGGCCAGCCCGACTTGATGAAATAAAAAGGTTTTGAGGGCCTGATGGAAAGTACGTAAGTCCGGAATTGTCCGTATCTCGGGGAGAGCTCGTTCCGGAGGGCTCCAATTTATGTTGCTAAGTGAGAAATTTGGCGAGTTTTGTCCGACATTTATGACTTTTCCTGCCACATTTGGCAACCGACTCACATTTATGACAGGCTGCAGTGTCCAGAGGTCACGCGATCCCCTTTTAGCGACCTTCTGACGGGTCAAGTCAACGGGGGAAGCCCGATTCACTTAACAACCTTGTGACTAACTTACCAAGGGCAGTGACTCACTTAACAACTATGGTAAGGAAAGTCGTAAAACGGGGGCAAAACTCACTGCCTCACTTAGCGATGGAAATTTGGGGCTCAACTATAGTCGTAACTTGAGGGTTTACCTGCGGATGGAAAGACTACAGGGTTAAGTCTAGAGGCCTCATCAAACAGACGATCTAGTTATTCTCCTTCATCCGAACCAACGAGGTATTTTCTGGCGTGCGAGGCTTTCTTGGAGCGGTTCCACAGTGACAAAGGTAAACTGGATCTGGATATGGCAGTTCCACTTACCGTATTTTTCAGAGTATAAGACGAACTTCCCCACCCCCCCAAAAAAGAGGGTGAAAATTTGGGTGCATCTTATACACCGAATGTAGCCCCGCCCACCCACCGGCCCCCACCCTTTGGCCTCTGCCTCCCGGCAATTTACCTCTTTGCAGCAAACAGCCCGTTTCAGCTTC